TGTTTTCTGTCCGTTTTCATTATTGACAATGTCAGTTATTCCGAAATAGTTTTGATCTATCAATCTGACATTCGTATTACTATTATTATTATTGGTATATATTAGGAGGTCTTGAATATTCTCTGATCAAAGGTGTATACAAAATAAACCGTGAATCACCGGTCAACTTACTTGTTTGTTTGGATCGACTTCCACAACTACAGTCTTACACGTTTCACCAGGTTTAAACACCAGAATTTCATTGATCGGCTCGTAGTCCCGTGCTTCTTTCTCATCTATACGTTGTTTTGCTGTGCCATCTCTGTATGAAAGACGTATAAAAACGAAGGGATTAGAAGGAATTAATTTCGCATCACTTCATCATTCAACCGTTTCTATAAAGCTTTTAGTTCAAACATTGATTGATCAAAACCAAAGTTTCCAGCAAGTAGAGGCATACCTGAAATATTCACCGTTCAACGTACGTACTTCGTTTTGTTGAAAACTGGTGCTCTCCTCATGAGTAGTACAGTACTGTTTTCGAAAAAAGATTGGTCGACTACATCAGCAGACCAGACAAAACTGTGGCAGTAGGCTATCATCAGTGCCAACCGACTTGTTCACTTGATGATCTATTGCGGGACGTCATAAGTAGGTTTCGGACGCACTACCCACCTGTTTACAGTCTACACAATCTATCTTACCAATAAGAACACAATTTCAACCGAACAATGGATTTCTGTACTTCACTATCAAGTCATTAAAAATTGTGTTGCATCATTCTCTGTGCGTAACCATCCCTGATCCGTTCCATACGGTCAAGGATTGCAGCTTTATCGTGTTGATGATGATGAGAGGTCGTAGCTATTGTATTTTTAACCTTCTAGATTCACATTTCGGGGTCCGACGTTCAATAAAGATTGATGAGGCTGACATATTAGAGGCTTTCGATTGGAGTTAACAAATTGTCATCTGTATTTCCCTTCGATGCTATCGGGTCAAATCAACTGACTGACTTTCACTGAAGACGATACCGGATTAAACATGAATTGGCAATTTGTTTCAACCATGGTACGAGCTGGTTGACACAGTGGTAACGCACACGCTTTCTATGCGATGGATCCGGAGTTCAAATCCCGGACGGGGTGGTGGATATGCACTACTGTTGAGCTCTAATTAGAGCAAAACTCGAGTCTAGTGCTTCCCAATGTATGGTTGACTATTGAACTGAGGATGGTGCGCGAAGGTGAAGTCCGAAAGAGAGTCGGTTCAAATCAATAAATAACATATTAGAATCAATTCAAAAGAACTTGGTGAACGGTCCCAGATGGCTTCGTTTAAATCTAATTGCTGGGAGGTAACCGCATTTGAGGTTGATTCGCGGCAACCTTCACTCATTCTGGGGAAGTTATCTTTTCTTCTGAGGATAGATAACTTCAGTGCAATGCAACTGATGTAGAATGTGTCACAGACACATCTGAATCAGTGGACAATCAATGAATCTATCCACATCTTTATTCCGCCCAGTTATCAGTTTACTGCTGAACAAGCAGTGTTGGGACACGACGTTAAAAAACGATTTAATTAGTCACTGATGCTGATTATTTCTGTCATCCTTCTGAGTTCATCTTGCTGTGAGTTTCACCAGCCAAATTCTTCAAACTTTTGATACAGGAGGTTTCACCGAGTTCTTCTTCTGTTTCTTTGGTGAACAGTTGTGTATGAGTTGTATTTTCCACGTCCCCCTGTATGTAGTTTGAGCCCTGATCCTACGGTTCCCTCAAGTGTCCATTTCTGCTCCTTAATATCACCAGGATTTGACGAAACAAAATCTTGTGTCACCGCAAATGAACTGCTATAAACATATCTAATTCTGAATCACGTGGATTGATGTGCGGCCATTAGACGAAAGGATGAAATATGAGTAGACGGGAAAAAATAGGTTACATAATGGGGCTACCTATCGTTCAGCCACATGCAGATAGCTGGTCTAGATTTTGGCTCGTTACACTCTTGTGCAATAAACAACAACTATGATCGGAGGCAAATCCCACAGTCACCAGGACCCAGTGTTCACTCGCCGTTTCACAAGCTTACTATGAGCATGATACTGGCAACCTAAAACTCGAGACTTGGGCCAGAGGACGACGTTAGACCCCTCTGGGTTAGGCGTGATATTGCGCCGGAAGTTGGATGACGGTGGTGTGGTTCGACCTTAGACTCTAGAATCCAAAGCCGGCCGGTAATAGCGACCTAAATCGCTTAATCATGACTACCGACCCTGAGAGTGAATTACACAATAAGTAGGGCTTCCCCAACTTCACGGGGTCTGATAGCCTTTACCTGTGTAATCTCGACTGATATCCCACCGTTGAACACTGCCATTTTCAGGTAGATTTGTCCGTTGCAAGCTCTCCTTTTGTTTGTCGTCTTATAGTGATACCAAAACATGTTCCGTGTGGTCATTCTTCTGAACAATGTTACGCCTAAACTTACCTTGTTTTTCTGATGTGTCACTGGGGAAGCATTTTACTACTCGGTCCGTTAGAAGTCTAATTATGTATCTGTTTTCATAAAAAGACACGAGAATACAGAAATACACAACAGGCCTCTTACATGTCACATTTCACAATACCGAAATCTCTGTGTCATCAGTAACTCTCTTATTCGTTACTTCCACTTCTATGGTAAGTTGCAAATTAAGCTCTGTACCAATGAGGCTAATTAGAGGTTACATTAGCATTCATCAAGTGGTACAGATAGATCATCCTGATTGCATCCGATAAATGCACATTCGTCAATTCTCTCTAAAGTCCAACCTTAAGATCGATCACCTGACAACGATTGTTTTTTAGTGAATAACCAGTTCCCATGCTATCTTTCTGACCCCAATTCATGTTATTGAAGTAATATTAAACACTAGAAAATTTAACGCTAGATTTGAAAAATGAAATTTCTCTTTCGACGAACAGCGATTCGTAGTATAGAATCTGATCTTGTCCCTCTGGCTGCAATTTATGATTTAAACCTCATTAGATGACAAAATATCAGCCAGTCGTTTTAACACGATTTAGCATATTGAATCGCATGGGAATGGTATGAAAACCACATTGTTTGCATTCACTAAACCTGCTGCTTAACTCTGTCCACGTGAAATGTTCGCCGTTAAACTGAAACACATTTACTCGATTAGATTGAACTTACCTTGTCATTATCCGCACCTGACTGGTCGCATGGCACACACCCTGACGCAGAACAGTGATCGGAATGGTACTGGTATTTGGATCAACGTAGAAACGACTTGCTTGCATCTCAAAGTAATCAGCCGCTGGCGAAACGGAAGGGTGTGGTTTGGACAGCGGGGTAGGACAGAGGAAAACATACGAGTTGTCTCAGGTTAGTAGATATACTGTCACATCTTCTTCTGTAACTAACTGAACAGGAAATAACAGGAAATTCGTTGTCTGTCGTTTTTTTTAGGAAAGAGACAAGAAATAATCTCTAGAATCAGTACACAGTCCAAATTTTTTGCACACCTTGAGTATGACGAGTTGATGGGCACTGACAACAAGAATGTCATTACTGTCGGTTCATTGGCATGAACTTCAGTGTCGCTAACCAATTAGTTAACGAATTCCAAACCCAGCTTGGAACGCGAGCAAGAACTACCCTATCGAGCCGCTCCATGCGTTTCGTCGGAACTCTTTCCCCTTATTACCTGGTTTTCTACAAGCAATTTCTATCATTCTGGAGTGGCGCTGTATACGGTCGGTAGGCACGATCAATATTTCGTATCCGAACCAGCAAAGTCTACACATCCGAATTCGGTGTGAAAGCAAACTTTCCAGTGAAGCAATTTAAAAGCACAAGTGCTCGTTTCGGAGGTGATAATACTCCTCCCCTCGCTTGATCTGTCACAAAAAGAACGCAAACATCGATGATCGAAAACCACAGACGAATTATTGTAGGAGCTCAAATGAAGCTTATAAAATTTGCAAAAATAGAGTCAAGCTACTCATTAGTAGAGGAAGCAAGAACGTAAAATTAAAAAAACTACATCACAAATACACTAGTCACTGCGCACCTTTTTCATCAGCCATAGAAACCAGGAGTATCCCTTAAACTTTGCGTGATTATCACCAAGTCATAAGAATAAACCAATCCGGCGTACTACCAACTTTTGATTTAGTATCTGGTCCTCGAATTTCCGTTTCCTATAAGCGCAACGCTATGTGACACTGATATGGGCTCATGTTTGACAAAGGTGATCGAACGTCTAAATATCACAGTAACTGATTAGCTGATATATCAGGTGTTGAGAGTGACATCACTATTACTGAGGTGATAATGGTTGGAATAAACAGTAATGAATGGGAATAGTTTACGAATGACTTAGATTGTTGACCGTAGGATTATTCTCCGACTCCAGCGGGCCTTGGAATACTCTGTTGCGTGCAACCAATGACCAATTTTCCCGACGCTGAAAGCACAACAAAGTACTCAAAATTTGTTCTATTGGACACAGAAAGACCAGCGAATTCGGTGATATTTTAAAGGTCCAGTAAATTCTGTGATGTGAGACTAACAATGATCGATTTGTTCTGCATATTTATCCTAAACAGTTCCAACGCTTTCCCCTGTTTGAACTGCTATAAAACCCTGACGACCCATTATTGGGTTAATTGTAGGAGATATGTTGCTATTACTGACGATACCTTCAAACGCCCCAGTATTGCTAGTTTTTGGTACTTCGGGAAACGAATCTCATCATCCCAGTCTTCCCGCGAAATGTGTCCTTGCGGCCCTCATTCATAACCACTGCTCAAATGGGCCTTCACACCAAGTTCCGGTAATAGGTTTTTTTCATGGAATCATGAGGGTGAAAATTCGATCATGGCTATCGAAGTTGCAAGCTCCGATTCAAAAACACACATGATTGTGAGATAAACATACTGTTTCCAGGTATACTGGATACACAAACACCGGTTGGTTTCGGCAATATAGTGGTTGGTAAAGCCTGAATTGGTACGCTCCGTCCAAGAGGAGACTAATCCGACCGACGGAACGCCGACCCACGGACGATCGCGCATTCGATATATCACCTTTTGATGTTAAACAACGTGCTCTAAGGCTCCCATTTTAACCTAATGCTGTTCATTGGTGGACCAAGTAATGCAACAGCTCACAGCTCAGAGAGAGAATGGAAATAAACACTCCAACTACCATGTTTGTAAGTGTTTTCGTTGTACAGTGTTTCGTGCCGGGGAACAAGTTATAAAGATCGTACATAAAAGCGTTTTTATGTTCCCTATATAAATAATGAAAACCTATCTGTTATCAGATCCGCCGAATTGTATGAGTTTGCCGGCAAGCGCATTACACATGATGGAACGCACGCACGCACACATGCATACAAACCTACCATCATGTGGTAACAGTTGCACGCGTAATACAGACGGGGTTCCGGGCAAAGCAATATTCAACTTGGCGTAGTCTGCTCCATCCGATCCGGATACGAACATCTCGGGAGTTGGAGCATTGAGTAGAATCACATGAAAATCGATGGGTTCGGTAATCGTTTGAATTTGTCGTTCGTCATTCAACTGAATTGTGATATGTTGTTCAACCTCCTCCCCAGTGAAGCGCTGCAAACGAAACAGGGTCAAATACTGAGTCCACGAGGTGGATAAAACACTGAACCGTTAATAAACAAATGCAAACTTTTGCCAGAGTCCAATGACGTATGACTTGAGAAGAGGTGAACTCCGTGGAAGAAGTTAACACCAGTCACTCCCGCGGTTGGGTTCATTCATCGTTAGACAGCAGGATTGCAAGGAGCGTCAGACGATCCAGATGTGAACAACTTTCCCCAAAGGAGAGAAAACATTGCGTGAAATATATATATAATATGGTTAGATTTCACTATTATTCCATTCCTTTTTACTCAGAGGTTATGATTAACCGGATCCGTGTAGGAGGACGTTGAATCCTGATACGAGGTGCAGTCTTCTTTAACTAGCTACCTCACCTCGTTTATTTCAAGCATTTTTGAAGAATAAACATCCTTTAGACTACAATCCACACCACGATTCATAAGTAACTATTATTGGAATGCAGATTTCAAGTATATCTTTGAAATGAATTCTCGATAAGCGTTTTTGTCCTATTCGCATGCCATCGATGAATCACTTTGAGCGACCAATGATTCAACTTAGGACCGGTCAGAAACTACGAGATCAAGTTCATGAATGTGGTGGCTACAGCCATAAAATGACCAGTAGTCATGCTGCCTTCCGTGGAGTCCAACTATATTATTCGGCTATCTGAACAATGTCATGTGTATTCATTGTTGTGTTTGGGAGTTTTAGAAGCAAGAATTCGGAGGTTTAAAGCTGTCCCGGATCAGGGAAATAAAACGGGGCAATAAAAATACAGAGAAGGAACTTGGTTGTTGTCAATCAGCTACATATCATATTTCATGTGTTCGTTTATCAGTGCGGAATGTCCGACGCTTTTGGTCGGTGGCAAAGGCATTCACTTACTCTGTGTAATGTCCTTTTTTTATCGATGTGTAGATTACACGGTGAGGTAGTTTAATGTGAGATTTGTTCCCTTCGTAGCAATTTTCCACCCTCACATTGAACGCGTTCCACTGGAAAAGTAGCACTTTTCTGATACATTCGAACGCACTCTTAGTTGAATCGATGTCAGTGTTTTAACCCCGTCAGTTGCATCCATGGACGACCGCTTCCTCAACAATAAAAGCCGGATCCAAAACCTATTCTCCTCTTGACCAAGGGTAATAAAAGCTGAATTATACAGTCACGCCTAATGTTAAGACACTATCTCGCTCTCAAAAGTAGTCGGACTGTCTAACTTTCAGTCTTTTAGTCCCTTCGTCTCTCTGTCTACCTGTCTGTCTGTCTATCTTTTCGGTATGTAATATGATAATCTTTATGATGATATATGATATATATATGATAATCTTTATTTTCCTATTTATCCACCTGCGGAAGATCCCATAAGATACCTAGACTCATCTGTTTACTAGACCCGTACCGTTCGGTAAAATATTTTCTCAGCTCTTGGTAGTTCTATCAAGTTAACCCTTGTATCAATAAACAATGTACTCTATACTGTACGCAATAACCAGCTGCTCGAAAGTTACTGCTCATTTAACCGTGGGTGGTTGGTCATAAAATGTTACATGAAAACATATTGATCAGTTAACAAGGGGGACCGTACCGAGTTCACTCACCAGTACACCACCATTAACGTTTTCATAATGAATTCCTGGTTTAGCCAATCCGGGACGAATTTCATAGCCCGCTATGAATGTCCCATTGGCTAGAGTGGCCGAACGAGCCTCGGTGGTGGGTGATCGAGATGGCCGTCTGGAATTCGGAACACTCAGTCGATTTTCCACTAGCACTGGAGCATCTATACTACTTGTACCACGCCTGTGACCGTCCGCTGAAGACGCGATTCCGGGGTCATTCTGTATAATAGAATAAATAGCTCAATTTAGAAAGAATAAAGAGTATCAATTACTTGAAATGTGCTTCATCTTTTTCTGTGTAAAAGAAACAATTTTCAATGGTTTTTTTCTCGAATAGTGGTTCATTTGTGCAACAAAGTGAGTGCTTCGGGAAACTTAGTCAGAAAGCATTTGCGGATCGCCAACCTCTTTAAGTAACACCAACTTAAAATCGGAACCCATCAGACACAGGAACACAAACACCTGAATTATAGATTTCATTGATCACCCTTCACATGTCCTCATCCTTAACCATAGCATTCATTTCATCCCCACAACCATACACACAGGATACCCTAGGCTAACGTTAGGGTGAATTTGTAGCCACACCAAACAAGCCCCCCCCCCTATATTAAACTACCTTCATTTGCTCTTTATACACGACGAATTTTCCCTTGGAAACTGAATTAATTCCTCTCTTTTTTGTTAAGTATGATAATGACTGCCCAACCCATCCTCCCAGACCACTTTACATGGTGACATTACAGAAGCAGTGGAGTGGTCTTAACAAAAACAC